AGTGGCAGCATGACAGAGCAGAGCACAGGCTCATGAGAGGCCAGCACTCCTGAGAAAGGGGTGAAGTAGTGCCTGAGCAGGCAGGAGGCTGGGAGTGGGGCCCAAGGTGGCACACTTGTTTGAGCCTAGCTTTCACCTGCAGCCCAGAGCAAGTGCCACTGTGAGCAGATGTCCCTTCAGCCAAGTAGATGACAAAAGCAGATGAAGTGGGTGAACAGTACCCTAATGAATGTGGCCTCAGGTTTACTAATAGGGGAGCCATAAGCCCCACACCCCTGAGGCCTCAGCAGGCTAGCACTGCCTTTGGAGAAACTGTGGCTTAATATTTCCTTGCACAGGAGCAAAACATAGATCTGCAGAAAGTAGTCCTAAACAGAATTCCTTTATTACCAATACCTCAGCACTCCAAGCTAACACAGATCAGCTAGGGAGGGCCAGATTTTCAGTGAGGGGAGTTTCTCTACTTGTGGTAACTTCTCAGTTCCTTCTACAGGTAATGACCTGATCCAGGGCCAGTTGGTTCCAGGGTCCAGGTCACCTCCTGCCTGTTGGGCTGTCTGGCATTCCTAGTAGCACCATGCAAGGTGGGAGGTGAGATTTACAAGTGCATGGGTGGGAGGAAGGGCTCTGAGTACAGGACTAGGCATTGTGCTGAAATAGAAATGGGAGTGAAAAGGACACACAAGAATTGATCTAAGACACATAGATGGTGGGGAGAGTGGGGAGAGGAGGACCCAGACACTGGTCCACTGGCAAAGTCACAGCCTGCCAGGGTGGGGGCTGTAAGAATGCATAGGGAGGCTGAGGTGTGCTTCCTCCTGGCAGGACAACTGTGCAGCAACAGTGGGAACAGCCTCAGGCTGCTGCATGTAGAACCCAAGCCAGACAACTGAGGTGGCTTTTGGCCCCTGATATGACATCTGAGGGAACATGGTGGCAATGTCTCCTTGTGGTGTGGTCCAAAGCAGCAGACCTCAAAGTGTGGTGCAGAGCCAGCAGCACCAGTACCCCTGGGAACTGTCAGACACCAACTCTCTGGTAGAGCCCCTAAGTGATTGACCTGTACCCACAATCTGGAGAACTACTGTCTAGACACTGATCACTATCATCCTTAGCAGGCATGAGCGTCACCCAGCTGCTTCACTGAGTACTGCTATTCTTGCCCAGTTTCCCCAGGCCCCATGTAGTCTGCAAGACTGGTAATGTGGTAGGTGCTAAAGGTAATCATCCAATTGACTCTTCCTACTCAGAACCTTAAGAGAGTCCCAGAGTGACACATTCCAGGATCAGAGGTCAGGGGTCCAAAAAATGAGTGTGTGTGTGTGTGTGTGTGTGTGTGTGTGTGTGTTTGGGGCAGGTACAAAAAGTCTAAGGCACAGTGTCCACACTGCTATCCAGGACACCTTCTCTAACCAGGCCACTATCTGCTAATTCTGTCCCCAGTCAGGGTGCCGGACCCAACCTGTGGGGCTAGGGCCAATGAGTCAGTGGTGTTCCTGCCCTGTCTTGGTAACAAGGCTGTAGGAGTGGTGTCTGCCTGTTAGCTCTGTTGCCCATGGCCCAGAGACTGCAGGGAGACCCCCTGGGCAGCTTGGTGTCTCTTTATCCATTGCTAACCTCTCTTGGGCCTCTACAGGAAGAGCTTGGTTCCAGCCAGGCATCTTCTCTGCAGGTTGGGAGTTGGGGCTTTGGACAATCTGCTGGGATCCCAGAAGTTGGAGGACAACTGAGATGATCAAGTTCCAGCATCTCCTGGCGATGGTACAGGCTGGGGCTGCCAGGGAAGCCCATCTTCTTTTGAATGAATTTTCCTTGGCAACGAGTGGCCTTCACTGGCAGATGAGAGAAGACAGCCCATGTTCCAGGGAGCCCCGGAAGGGTTGCTCCATCCTCATGGCTACTTCCTGCTCTGGAGATGCTGTTTCTGGGCCACTTCGTGCTGTGTTGGTGACAGTAGTGAGTGTGGAAGGGGACGCCTAACGTAGAACTAAGCCAGGGCATCAGGACAAGCTGTGCTCACCAGGCAAAACTATGTCAGGTGGGGCGAAGTGTGACCTCCCTTGGCCTTACCTCAGCATGGCGTGGTGTCCCCATCCAGGTGGGGAGGATAAAAATATCCCCACAATGGGGAGAAGTGCAAGACTTGGGAAAGATGAAAGCCGGGAACAGGCTCCTTATGTTAGGAGCTGCCCAAGAAATAATCACTCAGCCTACGCCCAGGCTATGTTCTGAGTTGACACCTACTCTACTCTTACGTGTTTTTGTGTTTTCCTTTTGTTTTCCCTTACTGTTTGGGAGGGGTCTTCTGGAAAATTTCCTGCTTCCCTCAGTGATGAAGCAGAATAAAATGAAAGGACAATGTCTACTCTGGGATGGTAGAAAAGGAAGATCAGGGTCCCTAGGAGGACCATGTGGTGGCCACGTGGTTAGGCAGAGAGCACCCCAAGAAAAGCGGCATATGGGGAGCCCTCCACCCAAAGCTCCTCCTTCTCAGGGTCCCTTCTTTGAGGGATTTGCAGGCTGGGATTTGGTCCCCTTGGGGAGGGTTTTTACATCTAGTAACATAACCCAGCATTCACTCACTGAGAATCTGGCCTTAGACCAGGCAATCCTTAGGGGAAGGGGTAGACAGGGGCTCGGGCTGTGTCTTTGGGGGTGTATATGCAGGTTTCTGTCTCCGGTATGGCACCAGCTGCCATGGTCAGCTTGGCCCCTGCCCCTGCCCAGTGGCTTGGCCTTCACTGACACAGAGGCCTCTCAGAAGTCACTCAACAGGAAGGTCGCTGCTATCCAGGTGAGATGGTGCAGGCAAATTCACGGGCTTGCTTGGGCTCACCCTCCCTGCCCCACCATGGTGCTACTATAGGGGCAGAGCCAGTGAGAGCTAAGGGCACATGCTGGCCAGTGCAGCGATCTCACAGGGACCCTGTTTTCAGCTGTGTATTCCAGGTTCCAGTGCTGGGAGGAAGCCAAGAACCCAGCCCTGACCCTTTCGTAGTTCACAGGTGCTCATGCTGGGGAAAGGATCTGGCTGTCTCCCAGCAGGGTCATCCCTGCCCAGGATCTGGGCAGTGAGTACAGTGAGTAGGAGGTCCCTGCCTGGCTTAGGTACGCAGGAGTCTGTGGCCCCAGTTAGGCTGGAGCTGAGTCTGCAGGCCTGGTGCACACGTGGTGTGGGATATGGGCCTGGTCCTGGTGAGGGTGCTCAGAAGGGGACAGCATCGGCCTTTAATAGAAATGCTGCTGGAGCCTCTGGTGCAAGCAGCAGGTGAGAATCATCCCACAGATCTACAAGAGGAGAAGAGAGTAAAGTGAAATCAGAATGCTCAGGTTGCTGGCTGCAAGGCTTGGAGCAGGCTTTCCTGCTCAGAAGGGTTGGGCCCCTCATCCCTCTTTGTTCTGTGCTGGTGCTTGAGGGCGTTCACACCTTGGGCTCTGCTGTCCAGGATGTGGTTTTCTTCCAAATGGCATGTATCTCCTGGGGCCTTGCTACTCAGGACCCTACAATTCTGCAGGCCCAGGTGGGGGCCTGAGGATCTGCATTTTTCACAAGCTCCCCATTGATGCTGGTGGCTGCCATCCCAGGTCTTCTTGGAGACAGCTGTGTTAATAGGCTCCTGCACAGTGGTACTTCCACTCTCCCAGCAGAAGAGTCTTTCTCTAGACTGAAACTGCCTGCATCCTGCTGTCTTCAGACTACCGAGCACAACTAAGGCCCAGGTTTGCTGCTCTGGCTGATGTGCAGAAGCCACTGTGGAAGTGGGAGAGCATCCAGAGCTGTCGCCAGCACATTCCAGGGAAAATGTCTCCACTTCTCCCAACTTTTCTTGCGGGTCCGACCTTTGCAGCATGAGCCCAGTGTCCATGGCTCCAGCAGAGAGGAGGCCAGGCCAGTGGGGTGTGCATGGCTAGGAGGCGACTGCTAGGACCTTCAGGGCTGGCCCAAGGCAGTCACTGAGGAAAGCCCGTCTTTTTTTTCCATTGTGAAGGAAAAATGTGAAGAGAACAGGCCCTGACTGCTGGCTTTAGCACTCAGCCCCTAGGCTAAAAGCAGTGCTAATCCCCCCCACCCCGCAGCATGGGCTGCAAGCCTCACGGTGGAGTAGGCGGATCTCCTCTCTGCTGGCTTTTAGCAGGTGGCTGTCAGGCATGCCCCCCAGGTGTCGCATAGCACACTCCTGGCCCCACTTTATGCCTTGATCACTTTCCTGGGGGTGGTCTGCATCTTTCTGATGTGTGAGAAGTGCGCTGCTAGGCAAGGCCACTGGGCCTATAGACACAGTGTGCGCTGCATCGTCTCCAGTGAGCACTGCAGCCGGGGCCTTCGCGCTCTTGGATGGGGTGTGTTTCCAGGGCCTCTTAGGACAAGCATGGTAAGGGCAGAGCTGCGTGGGCACACTCTCCTCAGTGTATGTACAAATGCTGAACATACTCCCCACCCTGAATCAGGCCGAGAGGTAAGGGACACATCCTCATGTGTGTATGAACACACACACACACACACATATGCACACTTCATGCTGAAGCATGCAGAGGGTTAAGGGACACTTATCTATGCGTGTGCATGGAACACACACACACACACACACACACACACTCCACCTTGAATCATGCAGAGAGCTAAGATGTGGTCTCATCTGTGTGTGCACATGAATGCACACATACACATGAACACACTTCGCATGTTGAATCACGCAGAATGGTAAAGGATGCTTTCACCCATGTGTGCACATGGACATACACACACATTCATACACATGTGCACATTGCCCCACTTCCCTGAAGTTGTACCAAGGGTAAAGGATTCTGACCCTTGGACCTCGAGATAGCACAAGTGGGTCCCCCTTGGCAGAGGACAGGAGAAAGCCAGTATAGGCAGCTCTAAGCAGCCAGGAGGGGTGGACAGGGACAGCACAGGACAAGTCCACCTCAGCTACTGGACAGGCAGAGGCAGGCCAGGCCAGGCAGCATAGCTCTCCTGGAAAGCTGGCTGGCAGAACACTCGGCCCTGGGCAGGGTATTATAACAGGGACCTAATGTGTTCTGCTCCTCTGATGTTTCTGGGTGGGTACCTGGCTGTTATCAGATGGCCTGAGCAAAGGGCTAGGGGAGTTCCTAGAAGCTAGTCCCACACTGCCCTCCTGTTTCCCTGAGAATAACCTGCAGACCCCCATGTGCAAGGTTGTCATGAGAGTCCCTGGGCTCCTGCTTGCACTCTGCAGCAGCGGCTGTCGTGTGATGAGCTGAGTTCTATCACTGAGTTCTATCATAGGCAGCAGTAGGCTTGATGACCCCCAGCGGGGAGAGTTGTACCCTTTCTGATCCACACATCTCCTTCCATCAATAGAAAAACCTTCATTATCTTCCCTGGTCCAGAGCCTGTCCTGGTGAGACATTTTAGCAGCGAGGAAGACCCCACGCCTCTTGCACCATGTGTAGGGCTGGCAGAGCCCTGGCCCTCAGGGCCCTTGAATGAAGCCCCCACTCCCTGGCAGCCAGGCCTGTGCACATGCCACCCCTCCCCAGCCTGCTCTCATTCTCCACTTCCTGTCAGACTCCTTCAGCATCTACACACTTTACTTTCTTCCAGAAGCTGTCCCTGAACCTGGTGGCTGGCTAGGCTCTTCCACAATTGCTCCTGCAAACCCTAGGGCTTGCACAGACCCTGTGCCTAGGACTGTGTGGTGACTGCAGGGGTTGCACCCTGCCTGCTGCAGTGCCCAGCACAGACACAGCACTGGGCACATAGCAGAGCCAGTTTCAAAGCCCACACAGTGCACACCTCTGAGCCCGCTCTGTACTTTGTGTGGGTGCTGAATCCTCTTTGTGTGAGAACAATAGGAAAATAAAGCTGGGAAACAGCAAAAGCTTCCTGGTCCCTTGGCAGAGGACAGGAGAAAGCCAGCATAGACAGCTCTAAGCAGCCAGTAGGTATGGACAGGGACAGCACAGGGCAAGTCCACTTCAGCTACTGGACAGGCAGAGGCAGGCCAGGCCAGGCAGCATAGCTCTCCTGGGAAGCTGGCTGGCAGAACACTCGGCCCTGGGCAGGGTATTATAATACACATGGGGGTCTGCAGGTCATTCTCAGGGAAACAGGAGGGTGGGGTGGGACTAGCTTCTACTCCCTTCAGAATAGAGTGTACCTCAAAAGGGAGATCTAGGGGAAAGAGTCCCAGGAGTCAGCTCTGTGGCTGGCTCTGCCATTGGGGGCTGTGTGACCTTAGGATTCTCCATCCTCAGCCCCCAGGGAAGCTTACAAATACCCCACACCTACTTGTTACAAACAGAGAAGTTGAGGGGGCCATCCCCCATTCAACAATGAATACAGTACCACCCTAATGATTATCCATGGTTAAGCTTAGGAGGTTGTGGTGCCCAAGGTGGCAGGTCATTCATATCAGTAACAGATGAAATGGGAAGCACCTGGAGTTAGAGGCATCTGACCCTTCAGATACTGGGAACCTGAGTTATGAAGGATTCCTCTTCCTCCTTTTTCCCTGTGCCTCAGCCTATTGTTGCTACTGTCCTATGACCTTTAAAAAATGAAACTACTTATTTCTTATTACAAAGTATCCACTTGATAATTCTTTCCTTGTCCAGCACTAAAACCTGGACTATTTTTGGCTCATTCACCTTTAACACACTGGCCTCAGCCCAGACAGGCAGGTCCAGAATCTGGGGAACGTGGGCCTCAGCAATGGTATTTTAAAGATCAGATTCTCATGTGCAGCTAGGGATGACCTTGATGTCCAGACAGTGGGTAAAGAGCCTTCAGGTCTTGGAGGCCTAAAAGTGGGAGTGTCTACAGACCCTGTGACCCTGTTCAGGCTGACAGAGGAAGTTGACAGCAGCTCTGCTGGGAGAAAAAGCCAACCCAAGAGTATAGCTCAGGCTGGGGACCTCTTGTTTGGCAGCCTCTGCAAGGGTCCCTCCAGGCTTGGTCCCATTGTGACAGCAGTCTCCAGTCTGTCTCCCTATCCCCAGGAAAAGTCTCTTCTGTCCCTCTCCCACAGGGGCCCTGTCTCCTCCCACCTCTGGCCCTATCCACCTCTAACTTCCTGTTCCACCAGTGTGCGTCCCAGAGGGCTGCACTGGAACCTCGCAAAGACCCCTGCAGCAGCTGCAGGACATTTTAGTTCATTGTATTGGGGTGCATCCCGTGTTTTGAGGCTTTACAGCTTGCCAAGGTTCGGGACCACTGCTCAGCTTTGCAGAGACTATGATTCTTGGGGGAGTTCAGGGCCTCCCTCAGCATGGCCCAAACAGGGCCTGTCCCTATCTTTCCCAGTGCAGTCCCAGCCCACAGTCATGTGACTCAGCACTCTCTAGTCCTGCTCCACGCTGTTACAGGTTTGGCACAAAACAAGATAAAAAGTCAATGTAAGGGTGTGAACTCTGAGATTTATGCTCTCAGCACATCTTTCCTTTTTCTCCACACTGGCTTTATCATTCCATCTGCCCACTGTCCCTGCAGATCTAGCCAAGGAACATAGTCACTTAGCTACCAGGGCCTTGCCAGAGTCCACCAGATGCTCAGTGAGGCTGAAGATTGCCAGGGCTCCATTAGCTCCTTCCTCACCTATCACAGTGTGGGTGTCAGGCCCACCACCATCTCTCCCAAGTAGACAAGGGCTCGAGTGGCCATACTGGTGAGGACTGCGAGACTATATGCAGCCCTGTCTCAGCTCAGACCTCACTGCTTCTCTGCTTAGTTCTTAGGGCCCTCAGCAACCACATGCTCCTGCACACAGTCTGGGGGCATCATCCCGAGGTGCCTCGTTGTTGGGGTGCGTGACTTACTGAAACTCAGAGGGTGCTGCTGCTGGAAGCTTCCTGGGACAAGGACCTGGTCCAAACCTCCTGCTGTGGTTGACCCTGGTGTGGTTGGGCTTTGAGTTGCTGGGTGGCAGCTGCCAGGTCTGGCAGCTCTACCTCAAGTGTTCAGTGGTCTGGGTGCCTATGTGAGGTTTCTGTTGAAAGCAGATACTACTGCTCTACAAAAGCCTTCTCCCCACTGCCCCATTCAAAAAAAAAAAAAGGACTAGAGGCAAAAAAAAAAAAAGAAAAGAAAAGAAAAAGGAAATACAAGGGGATCAAGAGTTGGAAGGAGCGGAGCAGTGAGGGAGAGGGGGAGTTGTATGTGTTCTGCACACATGGACTAATAAAAGTAAGGAAGCAAACACTGAGAACACTAAAATAGCTAAAAACCTTCAGCTTCTCCATTCTACAGGTAAGGAGACAAAGGGGAAGTGTGACCTTCCCACCTTCACCCATGGGCAAATCTCAGGTCTGGAATCCAAGCCCTCTGTCTCCCAAGCAAGGGTTCCTCCTGTTCCCAGGGACAGGGAGCATCAGGCTGCTGGGCTGAGCCTGGGCTCTCTGAAGTGTCTGGCAGATGCCCCATGTCCGCTTGAGCCTGGAGGAAGATGGGCTGGGCAGGCCTGGCCTGGGTCCCTCTGAGAACAGCTGGTCCCCTGACAGCCCCGTTGGGTAGCTTAGTGCTTAGCTGTGGCCAGCAGGGGGAGCTCTAACTGAGGCTTGGCCTCTGTAGTGGTTAAATCCACAGCTGCAGCAAGGTGAAGTGTGGTTTTGGGGGTTTGGGGTCCACTGCACAATGATCACAGAAGCCATTCATGGCGGGTGGATGTGGCCTGCAGGTCCACTGCCAGGTGACCTTGGCTCCTGATGTCAGACTCACACAGCTGGCCTGTGCCACCCTACCCTTGGACTCAGGGCGCTCTGAGCCCTACTCCCTGCCCCGGGGTTCATGACCTTTGGCTATTGCTTCTGCAGACAGAGAAGCCAGAGAGAAATGGACAGAGAAGACCTGGTCAGAGTCCAGAGAAATGGGCTTCTGGTCACCTCAGTTGAGCCAGGAGCAGAAGCAGAGAGCAGGGGTGACTTCTGGTTCCCCACATGGGACAGGAGGAGCTGTGTTGAGCCTCCTGGCACTCTGGCCATGAAGGCATGTGAGCCCCTGAGGAGCAAGTTTCTCCAGCTGGGAGCCACTGGGGGTTGTTGTGCAAGGGAATCTGTTCGTGGAGACATAATGAAAAGGATGTACATCTCTGAGGGAACACCTGCTCCCTGCTTGGCTTTGCTTCCTCCCAGCATATGAGGCTGCAGCTGGACCCTCCGGGACTTAGACTAATGCGGGTGGAACTGTGCTCTGGAATCTGTCCAAGCTGGGGACACGGCCACTCTGCTGTCTCTTTTCTCTTTTCTCTGGTGCCTCTGTGTGGAGATAAGGAGTTTGGGAAAGCAAGGACCACAGCCTGGGCACCCAGGTGCCAGCTCAGATTGCGAGACCCTGGATGAGTTGTTTCTTTGGCGGTCAACTTTCTGCTCTGTAAAAGGGGACAGCATGCTTCCCTAACTGGCCTGGGTCTCTTGTGTCATGTGGCTTCAAAGAGAAGCAGTGCCTGAAATACTCTGCAGTTTACAGAAAGCTCAAAGAAGTTCCTCCTGCTGTGGCTTTCACGTGGGCCCACAGTGCATCACGTTCTTATGCAGGCTACATGAGGTTGGGGAATGACCCACTTCTTGCAGATGAAGAGGCAAAAGGACAGAGGAGAGACTAACTGCTCAAGGCCACACATGAGCAGAGCTAGCACTAGGCTCCTGTGTCTTGCAAAGTCCCTGACCTCCTGGGATGCTGATTGTAATACCAGAGTGGGGGGTGCCAGCAAGGCTGCAAGATGCTGAGCTGTAGCTACAAGCACAATCTTCCATGTATTCCTGCCTGAGGGCTTGCCTGGCTGTGTGGTCTAGCCCCTATAGTTCCTGCCTGGCTCCTGGGTAGGATGCTTCCTGGATGGTGGCTGGGGGAGAGGTGTGACTAAAGAAACAGGAGCCAAGGGTACTGCTTAAGTACTCTGGATAGAGCTGAGTGCAAGAATACATGCACACACACCACATACACACACACACACACACACACACACACACCCATGCCTTCAATAAACCAATCAGACCCAGATGCATGCAGACACTTAGGGCTCCACACATACCACCACCCAGACTGTGCACACCAACACCTCTGCCCATGTACAGGGTGCACCCACACATCTGCACCCACATTGTCACTCTTCGGAGGCCCTCAATCCTCACAGTTTAAGTTGTTCCGTGTCCTCTGGGGAGAGACTGACCACAGGGTCCAGCTAGAGTTGCACAGGGAAGGAATGAGAAGAGTGTGGGGTGGGTATGACCTCAGTTACTGTGAGAGGGGTTGCAAGAGCTTCTGGACACCCCTGTCCCATTCTCTCATCTGACTCACCTGCAGGCAGGCCACCCCAATGCCCACTGCCCCCATGAGCAGCAGATGGTCAGCAAGGAACTGCTCCAACTTGGTGATGCAGCCTCCCTGAAAGAAAGCTGTGGGTCACGAGTGCCTTGACCAGGAGTGGCCTAGGGTAGAGGAAGGACTGGGGTCCTGCTGAAGCCAGGGATGAAAGGGCCTGTGCCCAGCCTTTGAACTGCTGCCAGGCTCCTTGGGGGCCCTCAGGGGGTGCCATGGTATCTGAGGACCTCCCAGGGAGCCGCTTATCCCCCTCTCTGAAGAGGCCCTCTCAGGCCCTGGGCACTGTGTGCTTTGGTTTCCCACCCCCACCCACCAAGCCTGGCTCTAAGGAGAGCCCAGGCACTCACCTCCACCTTGTAGATGTTGGAGGGGTGAATCCGCTGGCCACAGCGTGCCACCACTGTCTTGCAGCAGCTGTCAGGCACCTGGCGGCCCTGGGCCTCCTGGGACCGGATGTAGGCACTGTGCTGCCAGTCTGCTGAGCTGTTGCTCCCACAGCATTTGAACTGGAGGGAGAAGAGGCAACAGGAGGTGAGAGGCCTACACAGGCCTTGCCCTGGCCCAGGGCACAATGTTCACCCAATTCCTTTGTGTTCTGGATTCTGTCCTTCCCTGTAGGCAAGGGCCCCTGCTCACAGCCTCAAATGGCCACCCAAGTCCTCTGGGAGATCAGAATGGAGTCCTAGGGGCCAGGAGGGAGGGCCTGTGAGATGGGCTGGCAGATGGACTATCCTGCCAGAGTGGGGCCATGGGCTACTGGTTCTGCAGAGCCTGAGCCTCCAGCAGAGGCAAACACAATGGGGATGTCTCCTGGCCACCCAGGGAGTAGGACCTGGGGACAAGGACCCAGCCTTGCCAGATGTCCTAGGTGTCCACTGGGCATTGAAGTCTCAGAGGTCCCAGACTGTAAGGGTGCCATAAGTGTCCCAGAGCCCAGCCTGTGTGAACAGATCAGGATGGAGCCCAGGGCCTGGTGTGAGTGTCTGCAACATCCCAGGTGGGCTGTCTGACAGCTGGACAGATGTTGGCTCAGAGCAGACCTGGGCCACTTGCCCTTGGTGCAGAGGCACTGAGGTCCAAATTTGCATACAGCCAGGGACCTACTGTGCACCCAAGTGAGGCTGGGTCAGGGCTCAATTAGGAGTAGGTATCCTGTCTTCAAGCAGCTCATCCTCTACTGTTGTGTAGGAGAAGAGATGACCAAAGCCCGTGGGTGGCTCAAAGGAGGCTGGGCCAAGAACAGGCCATGGCAGGAACAGGGATGCAGGCAGAACAAGAGGTTGCTCCAGTGTGCATGTGCGGAGGCCCCAAGGCTGCTCCTCTTCAGGCCACTTGTAAAAGGAGGAGACAACAGCTTTCCACCAGTACTCCAAGGTCGGGGTCCTTTCTCTTTGCTCAGGCTGCCTGCCCCACCTCTCCCCCTCAGGGCCTTGGACTCTGATTCCTGAAAGAGGAGGAGGGCAGCCTCCACACAAAAGGAGCTGAGATGAGCTCTTTTCCTGGCAAGTCCAGCCATCTGGGACATCAGAATGGTCGGCTGGGGAAGGAGAGGTTGGAGGAGGCAGTTGGGGAGCCACAGTGGACGTGTGGGCAGAGGAAGGGAAAGTAAGGGGCCCAGGCTTCCGGGAAGACTTCTGTGGTGACTGGTGACATGGAAGGTGCCATCACAGTTACCACTGTAAGAAACCCACATTAGGGGCTCAGTAAAAGCTCAGAGAGGGTAATGAGCTTGCCCAGAGCTACACGGGTGGGAAGGGGGAGGGACAGAGGCAGGGTGTGACCCAAGTGTGCAGCAGCTTACATCCTGCTGTAGGCGATCCACCGAGGCAGTGATCTCTGCAGCTCTCGGCTCCCCGTAGTTCTCTGCCAAGGTGCGGTTCAGGTGCTGCTTCAATTCGTCACTCAGCTGTGGAAGGAGGAGCACAGGTGGGGCCCAGGCCTCCTTCCACCACCCCTCCAGATCTGCAGGACCCTGTAGTGTGTGACACTGCCGTAGGGCAGGGGTCTCAGTGTGTCCTGTGGAGGCAGTGGGGATGAGGTCCCGGGCAGAGCCAAGAGGGCCCAGGGTGGGGCCAGCTCGTATTTCATGGGCAGTGGGCCCGGCACAGGCTGCTTTCTATAGCTGTGGATTTGCACTTTGATTATGAGGTGATATTATGGTTTGTGTGTAGTTGGCCTCATGCAGTCATTGGGGTGCGGTTCTAGAGTCTGTGATTAATTCATGATCAGAAGCTGGGATTCTGGGTCTGAGTACTGCTGGGATTAGGGGTGTGAATGCTACACCCAGCCTGGGGCAGATAGCCTGAAGGCAACATAAGGAGGAGAGGGACTCACTCTGTAGCTACTGTTGCTGCTACTCCCTTTTGCTCTTGCAGTTTTGCTGTATTCTTCCACCATGAACTGCTGCCCTCTGCCATGTACCAGTCTGTCTTGGAGCCAGCTGTGTATGGACTGAAACCTCCACAAACTGTGAGCTGAATAAACCTTTCCTTCTTTATTTCTGGGTGTCAGGTATTTGTCCCAGCAACAAGAGAAAAGTAACTGAGACAGCTGTCCTGTGGGAACTCAAGGGACATGGGTTCCTTGCAGTTATACTGTCTCCACCAGCCCAGCATCACCTTGAAGGTAACCTCAAGTCCCTGATTCAGAAGTTCCTGGGGTGGGAGGAAGCCAGGCTGGTCACTTCTTCTGTCAGCCCAGGTATTTCTCCCTGGCCCACACCTCCCCTCAGATCCTGTGATGGACCTTGGGAAGGTCTCTCTCTCTGACTCCCCTGTGGGCACCTCAGCCAACAGATGTAGCAGAGCTACTGCCACTGGGAGAGGAAGCTGGTTCCAGATACACAGAGGACTGTCAGTCCCTTGAGATGGGACCACCCAGTGTGTGTCTGCTTCAGCCTCCCCTGCCACCCCACACCCCTGGCCCCTTCCACTCACCCTCTGGTAGTACACGTGGGCCAGGACCCCGGCTACCAGCTCCACAAGGAAGATGACAAACAACAGGCAGAAGTACTAGGAGCAAGGAGAGGAGAGAGTCACCACCAGGGATTAGGGTGATGAAAATTTGCCCAAGGTGAGGCGTACAACCTGCCAGTGACCCCTCACTCCTGCCAACCTCCTTGGGACCAGAAGCCTCTGCCAGCAGCTAGCACAGACTGCCCCATGTCCTTGCTTACAGGTCTGCCAGCTCCAGTCACCCACTAAGCACACTTGGTGCCACTGGATGCCAGGAGCTGGCACCGTAACCAAGATGAACTTTGCCCTCAGAGTCACTGGAGGTGGGGGACAGATGTGTAAGTGGGCACAGCATTATAACTGCAGCTACTGGTCAAGAAGTAGGAAGGATGCGAGGCTGGCCGGGATGTGTGTGGGAGGACACATGCAGAGCCTGGAGTCTTCAGAAAGCGTGGAGTATTCATGTTCCGAGTGGACGGGCTGGGCACTGCAAGCACGGGTCAGGAGGAAGCAGAGGCAGAGGTCCGGGCAAGGCCACTTGTGTGCTATCTTCCAGGCGGATGCCCGCTTTGCATCTTTCCTGGCCCCACAGAGCTACTACTGCTGCTTACCCTACCTGACCCCCTCCATGGGTCAGGGTAGCTATGTCCATATTGGTGGTTGGCAGAGAACAGGCCTTGTCCCCTCCCACATGCCTCTGCACTGTCACTGAGGCTCCTGGGGGCTGCTAGGCCCCTTTGTGCACTTGGAGGAGCCAGTAGGTCAGACCCACATGGACTGTGAGGAGCCAGAGACAGGTGACAACAGGTTAGGAGGATGGAAAGAGGAGGGCCACTCATGGGCACCTGTCCCCCAGACTTCCCAGGGCACTGCCCAGCACCGGCCACACATGGGACTGGGCCCGCGTTCACTGGGATTATGGCCCAGCCTGGGGGTAGGAGCTGAGCCTCCAGGCTCTGAGGCAGGGGAGGAATTGGACAGGGGGAGGCAGCTGTTAGGACCCGGGAGGGCAGGTGGGAATGGCTGGCCCATGCATGGAGCCCTTGCCTGGCCTCCTGGTGGATGATCAGTCGGGTGTGGCACAGCTGGGCTGCAGAACGCAGGGGGGTAGATGTTTCTTTCCATAGAGAAAGAACTGAAAAGCAAAGCCACCTTTCCTATTAAGTCAACACCTCTCCTCCCCCACAGCAATTTTATTCCAGCTTTGAAGCTAGCATTGCAGGTCAGGCTCAGTCTCTGAGTGGAGGCTGTGTGTGTCTACAATGTGGGTCTGAAATGGCCCCAAAGGCTCACATGTTGATGGCTTGGCCCCAGGACAGCGGTGCTCAGAGCCCCAGGCTCACAAGGGAGTGGATCTCATCAGTGCATCCTTCACCAGTGGACCCACCATTTGTGGCGTTCTCGGGAAGTGGTAGAAACGAGGAGGTGGGCCTAGCTGGATGACAGGAGTGATTTAGAGCAGATCTGTCCCTGGCCTCTCTCACTGTCTCTCCTTGAAGGTTGAGAACAATGGTGCCAGCTGACCATGGATTGAATTTTCTGAAGTTTCAAGCCGAAGAAACCTTTCCTCTAAGGTGCCATCCTCAGGCACTCTGTTACAGTGTCAGAAAGCTAACACATGTGGGAGCATGCCTGGCCTATCATGTGGGGGCCTGAGGTGAACAGGACAAAGGGAGGTTGCCTCCCTCCTCAGGGCCTACCCTGCTGTAGGAAAGGCTTCAGCCTATGTGTCCAAGTTCTGCCCACCCCTCCCTATCTTTTGGCTAAAAAGTTAGAGAGGGCTGGGACTCCATCACAGTGGTCCCACACCAGTGGCAGGATACCTGTGGGCTCTGTGTGGAGGTTCAGACCATGTGGACTGGGAACTGAAGGTCCTGGGTGTCAGGAATGGGGTCTGGAGTCGGGGGAGAAGTTCTAATGCTTTTGCCTTTTGGATTCTTCCCCCACCTGTCTGGGTCTCAGGATAAATGGGACCCAGGGGTGTCTCAGGAGAAAGCTGGGGTGGGAGCCCTACAAAACAGTGTATGGATTATCTTTCTCCCCCCTCAGGGAAGGGGCTGAAGACCCAGGAATGGGTCTGGGGATGATGCCAATCAATGCCGGCTGACTTTGGTTGGTGGTCACTATGCCTTGTGTAAGTTAGAAATGTGCAAGGATGACAGGTCCAGCAAGGGCTTCACAGGTTGAGCTTTGGCCTTGATGACTGCTGTGGGTCAGTGATGGCACTGCCTACCCTGTCTACTCTCACGGCAGGGGAGCTTACCTCATAGCATTCTGCCTCCTTCCTCTACTCCTGGGCCAGGGCTGAGAGGTGAGCAGTTCCTAGGAGCTGGAGGCAGGTACCATCAGGGTAGTACACAGCCCTCCTGGAGCTGCCCGACCCGTTGGATAGAGGATGGCTACACTACAACCCATTTGAGAACTTCCCTCACTGGGTCACACTCCTCGAGGCTCTGGGAGATGCTGGGCCCAACACCTCTCTGACTCTGGCACTGAGCAGCCCTCTTCCTGCCTCATAGGTCTCCCTGGTCCCCCCAGCAATGTGCCCAGGTGTGAGATAGAGGAAGAGATGATGGAGTGCCTGTGGCTGTCTGGGATGACCTGGCTGCTGGCCGCTAGGAGGCAGCACTTTGTCACTTGTTTCCCTTTTCTGTCAGGACCATCAGCCCTGAGTCACAAGGGGATGCTGGTCCTGAGATGTGTCTTGCTGTTTCCCTGGGGACGGCATTACTACGGTTGTGACTGCACACAGGTGAACAAGGACGTGGGAAACCACATCCCTGATGTCACAGTAGGCTGAACGAGTTCATGTAGCCTCTCAGCGACTGGCTCAGGGGTAGCCAACAGGCTGTGTAACCAGCAGGGTTGTCAGTGGGAGGGAAGTGCAGTGCTGTGCAGGACCACCCCTCCCTACCTCACAAGCATCTTTACTGTCATTGTCCTTCCAAGGTCAGCTATCCCTCCCCATTGGCAATGCTGCCAGACAGCCTGCTGCCTGCTCCTCTTGGGCTTGTGTGTGCCAGTGTCCAATGCTAGTTTCTGCCCTTATTGTACACAGCTGGCTCTCATATCCAAAGCTATGGCTGTGGGCACAAACTTTGAGGCACCCCTGTGTGTGTGCACACAGCCTGAACCCCAGGAAGCCGCCAGCCTTGGGGCGTCTGTGCTTGTTCTTCTCCCTGTAGCCCTGCTCTGCTTATCCAGGCTCAGCTCCTGCACTCAGCTCAGACAGCCTCCACGTAGCCCAGTCAGAAGTTTCTGACCCAGCGCTCCTGACTGGCACACTTTCCAAGACTCTGTGGCCTGATGGGCTAGCTTGCCTTCCTGGGTTGCCTCTTTCTTGTTGTACCACTCTGGGCTGTGTTCCCTGTGAGCTGGGTTGCAGCTGCACCTCTCTGACTCCAGCCTGTTCTGCTTCTGCCAAGCCAGGGCTGCACTGGGCCTCAGAAACCACCACATGTGTCTTGTTTTGATGGAAACCAGGAACAAGGATTCCAAAGAAAGATCTTGCAGCCTCTGCCAGCCTATTACAAAGTAGGCCAAAACAGAACCAAAGCACAGAAGGAAGGAGTGTGTTAAGCACAAAATGAGCCTCAAGTATTAATGCCCCGGTGTATCAAAGTATCTTTTTCTCTTGTTTAATGAAAGAGTTTGAACTGGAAGTGAATTTGAGGCTTTTCTAAAATTAGATTCAAAAGAAGCTGGGGCAGCAAATCATCCTCTGAAGCAAACCAGTGCTTTCTCTAAGGAAGGACTGCAGGAGAAGCATGGAAATATTTCTTTGTGCCATTAAGGCGATTAATTAGAAATCAACTCTTCAGATGGGGCAAGCTGGCCCCAGAAAATTTCTGGGACAGATTCACTGGTGCCTTCGGCACAGGGTATAGGTTGCTCTGTAAATAAAGCCAGCATTTCAAAATTATCTTTTTAATCCCCTAGTGCTGGGGGTTGAACCCAGTGCCTTGCACATGCTAGTCCTGTGCCCTGCCACTGAGCTCCAGCCCTGCCCCTTAGACACAGGGCAGCTCAGCATCCGCTGCCCCCAGAGGGATCTCTGCTGAAATGCTTCTCTTCTGTCTCCCCCGGTCTGCATGATTAGACAAAGAAATGGTTCACAGAGCCTCCTGCCCAGTCACAGTCTGATGATCCAGGCCTGGTGTCTAGGAGGGCTGGGCAGGGCAGAGGTGTTAGCTATTCTCAGAACAGCTTGGCAAGAAAGAAGACTCCAGACACAGCCAAGGTTAAGTGGCAGGGAGAGTGGCCCACCCAGAGGCTCCCAGATGGCTGTGTGTGCAAGGACTGCAGACACTGTGTTGGGAGCGTTGGGGCGCTCAGACGGCACTGAACAGGAAAAGATGGAGCCAGCCATAGAAGCAGCAATGACCTCAGGGAGAATTATTTTCTAGCAATTAACCAGTGGCTGGAGTCAGCTGGGGATTTGTGCAGGAAAGAGAAGCTGTGGATTTGGGAACCTCAAGCCATCCCTGTACCAAGGTGTCACTGCTGGAAGGGTGACGTGACTTCTACCTACACCAGCATAGGACTCGCAGGTCAGGTTATCCAGCCACAGCTGTGCTGGATGCTAGGCCTCAGCCATCTCCTGGGGACTGTTTCATGGTAAGGCCATGAAGCTCTGGCCTGCTGGGGCTGATCTAGGGCTGCTGAGAGCTGGGAGCACAGCTGAGGACAGGAAGGCCGAGGGCAGCTGGGAGGCCCAGAAAGGGCTGTGGGAGGGGCAGGGAGAGGGGAAAGAGGCAGTGCAGGGGAGCATGATGGAAACCCGGCTGGGCCACTGGAAATTGGAACCCATGCATGCAGGGCCAGGCTGCAGGTGTGTGTTGGGCGGGGATGTCAGGGAGAACGCTGGCAATGCAAGCCTCACTGCTGGGCTTCAAGGGGTCTGCAGGGTTGTCTGAGTGGGCTGCAGGACAGCAGGACCCACGTGGACCTAGGGCCTGGCCAGCTGGCTGCAAAGTGAGGATGAGGTCTGTGAAGAAAAGGGGTTCAGGGAATGCAAAGGACACTGCTGGCTCTGGACTCAGCTGTGTGGGAGTGAC